GGCCTTAGAGAAGGAATAGCAAACTAATTCCAAAATCAGTATAAGACAGAAATAATAATGATCAAAGTCAAAATTAATGAAAGAGAATAAAAATTACAATACACAGGGATCAAAACCAAAAAGGATTGGTTCTGTGAAAAGATAAATGAGACTGATAAACCCTCAGCCCAAAATAAGCAAAAGAAAGAAAACTCAAATCAACAAAATTAGAGATGAAAAAGGAGAAGTCACCACAGAGATTTCTTTAGATGATCATTAAGGAACTAATTTGAAAATCTGTACTCCAATAAATTGGAAAACCTTGATGTTGACAAAATTTCTAAACACATATGACTTGCCCAAATTGAACCAAGAAGACAGAGAAAATCTTAACACACCAATAACAAGTAATGAAATTGAAACAGGAATTAAAATCTTTTCCCCAAAAAATGGACCAGATGGATTCTTAGTCAGGTTCTGCCAGATCTTTTAAGAAGCACTAAGTCTTTCTCAAATTATTTCACGAATGAGAAAGGCAGAATACACTCCCAAATTTATTCTATGAAGTYAGTGTAACCCTGATACCAAAACCAAAGGCACATCAAGGAAAGAAAACTACAGACCAATATCCCTGATAAACATAGGGATACATCCCTGATGTAAAGATCATTAACAGAAGGTTAATAAACTGCATTCAAAAATCACATAAAGGAGGATGAATGGGGTTGGGGTTAGGGTTGTGGCTCAGTGGCACAGTGCTTGCCTACCATGTGTGAGGCACTGGATTCAATTCTTGGCACCATATACAAATAAATAAAGATCCATTGATAGCTTAAAAAAAAAAAGAGGACAATACACCATTATTAAATGGATTTCATCCAAAGGATTCAAGGTTGGTTCAACATATGCAAACCAACAAATGTAATTACCACTTCACAGAATTAAGGATAAGAATTATATGATCACCTGAATAGGCCTTTGATACACTTCAATACCCATTCATGTTAAAAACACCAGAGAAACTAAGGGTTAAAGAATCTTACTTCAATATTATAATGGCTATACAAAGAAAACAACGTAACTGAAAGCAATTCCTCTAAAATCAGGAACAAGACAAGGATCTCTACTCTCGCACTACTTTTATTCAATATAATTCTCAAAACTCTAGCCAGAGCAATCAAGAAAGAGAAGGAAGAAAAAGGAATACAAATAGGAAAAGAAGAAGTCAAACCGTCTATTTGCTGATGACATGATCCTCTGATTAGAAAACCCAAACAACTCCATCAGAAGACTTCTAGAGTGGATAAGTGAATTTGGCAAAGTAGCAGTATACAAGGTCAACACTCATAAATCAGTAGCTTTCCTATACTCCAAAAGTGATTCAGCTGAACAATGAAAACAATCCCATTCACAATAACCTTTAAAAAAACAAAACCCTAGGATTGGGGTTGTAGCTCAGTGGCAGAGTGCTTGCCTTGCATATCTGAGGCACTGGGTTTGATTCTCAGCACCACATAAAAAATAAAGAGAATAAAGGTATTGTGTCATGTGCAACTAAAGAAATAAAAATTTAACACACACACACACACACAAAAAAAAAAAAATCCTTGGAAATTAATCTAACCAAGGAGGTAAAATATTTCTACACTGAAAATTATAGAATACTAAAGAAAGAAACTGAAGAAGACCTTAGATGATAGAAAGACCTCTCATGCTCTTGGATAGGCAGAACTAATATTCTCAGAATGGCCATATTACCCAAAGTAATATGGAATGAAAGTAAAAATCAATAGCAATCCCCATCAAAATACCAAYTACATGCCTCATAGAACTAGGAAAAATAGGGTCCTAAATACATTTGGAAGAATAAAAGACTTGGAATAGCATATGCAGAAAGTACCCATCAAAAATATTTAAAGGAGCACAAGAAAGATCAGTAGAGGAGAAAATGGAGGAGGAGAGGGAAAGACAAAGTTAATAGGGATTGAAATCAAATTCCTTGCATGTATGATTTTTGTCAAAATGAATCCAACCATTATGTATAACTAGAATGCTTTCGTAAAAGACAAGAATTGTATTCTAATAAAGCACACATATACATTTTTTGATATGAGGAAAAATTCCCAATAGCTAAAGAATAAGGTAACCATTAGAGGACAAGATAAAGTCAATATCTATCTTTATTTATGGAGAGGTAGGGAGGTGTGATTTAATATTATGAAAGGAACAGGAATGCTGTGTGGGAATCTGATGCTCTGATACAGAATAGTTTAATGCTGTGTGTGAGAGAGAAGGGGGAAGAAATTTAATTCAGTGATAAAATGTAGTAAGGCTCTGGAATCAGACTATATGGAAACACTGTCCTGAAAACATGGATTTAGGTTTCTTTTTTTAATATATATATTTTTAGAAGTAGCTGGACACAATACCTTTATTTTATTTATTTATTTTTATGTGGTGCTGAGGATTGAACCCAGAGCCTCACATGTGCTAGACAAGCGCTGTACYGCTGAGCCACAATCCCCGCCGTGTACTTAGGTTTCTTTACCCAAATAATAACAGTACAAACTCACAGTACTAATGATAAGTTTTAAGTAAAAATACTTATGGAAAACAAAAAATATATATAATAAAAATTTGCATATATTTATTACCATCATTAATACTATTCCAAAAAAATAATCTGAATGTGTGGGAATCCAGGAGACAGACATAATAAATATGGAAACACTGTCATGAAAACATGGAAGTTCTTCATTTGTGGAGGATAAGAGCTAAAAGAATTTACAATAACAAGATTCACTTGGCTGGATAGAATTATCTGGAAAATTTTATAGAATAATAATCTGACCTGTGTCTTTATATATGCACAGCTTTTAGATAGGAGAATGAGAATGACAGTAATGAAGCTGCCATGGTTTGGTGAAGTATGGTGGGAGGCACTTGTGGTTCCAGCTACTCAGAAGGCTGAAGCAGGAGAATCTGCAAAGAGAACCTGGGCAACAAAGTGAGACCCTAAAAAAGAAAGAAAAACAATGGAAAGGAAGCAGGGAGGAAGGGAAAGGAAGAGGGAGTAGGGAAAGGGAAAGATCAAGAAAGGAGGGAGAGAAAAAAAGAAAAAGAAAAGAAAGGAAGCTGCCATCGTTTGATCATGGTTTAATGATCAACTGTAAACCCCTGGATTCATGTGCTGGGAGCTCAGTCTTCAGTATGATGGTGTTGGGAGGAGTAGGGTTCAGAAGTAAGGCTTAGTGGGAATTAATTAGGTCCACCCTTTGAAAGGAACTGATTTAGTTCTGTGGGATCCTGGCTAGTTCTAGTTAGAGGGTTTTTATAAAAGAAAAGATCTAACCCCCAAGTTGCTCTCTGGCTTCCTATGTCACCATGTGACCTCTCTTTATTATACATACTCCGGAAATGATGTCATCTAGCACAAAGTGATGCAGCCAAGGGGACCTTCACCAAAGCCAACACCATGCTGTTCAGATTTTTTCAATCTCCATAATGGTGAACTAAATAAATCTATTTCTGTCTTAGTTCCTCAATCTCAGGGCTTTTATTTAGCAGTGGAAAACAAACTAATACAGAAGCTGAATGAAAGCTGAGAAGCCAGAAAGACCAATACATTTCAGGATAGTGATATCAAAGTATGGAAATCTGAGTATCATAAGAAAGGCAAGACTATGTTTTGTCTTCTGAGTGTACAAATTAAATAGGTAAGTTTTATTTTTTAGACTGTTAAGAACCAATGAAGGAGGCATAACATGACCAAGCAGAATATCAGGAGTATTCATTCTAGTTTTGGTATATAGAAAGATTAGAAGGGAAAAGACCAGAATAGAATCTTACTAGTCATTAAGACAAATAATGACAAAGACTGACTAGAAAGTACTGATGGAGAAAAAAAAGAAGAAGAAATATATTGACAAGAGAATGGGAGCGGGGGTAGGAAAATTGACCAAGTCTGAYAATGACTGGGTATTAGTAGGAAAGTAAATGATAGGTGAGTGATGAAACCATTAGAAGGAAAGAGCAAATCCAAAGGTCTAGAAACCAAGATGAAGACTTTCTACTGGGTCATAAAAGCTGTCAGTCAGGGTTAGATTGCCAATTTGAAATAATAGTAAAACATTCTAACAGCCAGTTAGCAACAGAGACTAGTGCTTGGGAGAAGTRAGAACTGGAAACAAAAACTTGAGAATTATCAAAAAGCAAAACAAAACTCATTAGAATGTTCTAGACATTCCAGAACAAATAGACACTAGACTATACTATTTCAGAACAGTGGTCACTTCTTATTTATTTTTATGACCCTTAATGATTAGCACAGTTCTGAATACGTGGGAAGCTCTTAGTAAAATATTGCAAAGTGGGAAGAACAGAGAAGAGAAAAAGGCTACACAGCTCATTAATGGCAGAATCTTATTTAGAGCTCAGGTCTCCTGATCCTTTCCACTATACCACAACACAGAAATGACTTACGAGCCTCCATGCACAGGATTTGGTTTATGAAACGAAAATAAAGGACAAGAACTGAACTTTGGGGATTTCTGGTTTATAGGGTCAGAAGGGAAAAGACAGACAAGAGTTATTGGGGAAATGTAATGGTGTTTCACCATAGATTAAAGGATAGTTTTCCTTTAATATAAGAAAGGAATGCACAGTCAACTGTATCAAATGCACATATGCCACAGCCAGTGTTTCTCTGATACATTAAACCAATGAAGCACAATGCAGGGAAAGGTCACTTTTTTAAGGTTCAAAGTGACCTTTGAACTAAGCAATTTCCCTTTCACAGGATTTTCTATATATAATGCTTCTCATAGCAGTGGTTATAAAAGTATTAATCTTCAACAAAGTTTATTTCTATTAAAATACATAACTAGAAATAAGTTGCTATAGTTGTTGAGCTGAACAAAAATTAACAGAACAAATGAAATTTGAAGCAAAAGGTACATCTAACCAATAATCTATAATGTATTAAGACAGCAACAAAGTATATGAAATATCAGAGGTATTACCTTAAATCTCTTGTCCTGCAATACTTTTTTGATGGCAACCAGTTCTCCTGAATCACAAAGTTTGGCTTGATATACCACACCAAATGACCCATTTCCGATCACTTTAGTGTCTGTATAGCTGACTTCTTGTGGCCTGTCTGGACCCTGCCCGGGAGTTGCCACCACTGTGGTCACCTTGCTKCCATCCTTGTCTCCTAAAGGAAGAAAGGAATTTTTTTTTAAAAAAATGAGAACTGTACAGAATTATACTGAGAAAACTGCCCAAATACACAAAGTAAACTATATTCTTTACTACAAATTATTTTTAAATGTTTACCTTAGTTTATCACATAAAATTATTTTTTTCAATTATAAGCAATATTTTTCATTCAGTCATTCTATAGACCAGGCTCCATGCTAAGTTTATACACATGACATCTTTTATTGAAAACAAAAATTAYGAAGTAGATATACTTCATATATCTAAGTAATGGAAAGAATGTTAAAGATGCCCAGGGTCAAACAGCAAATGGTAGGCTCACAGGGGTCTCCTTATTTTACTTGAAAATATGTGCAACTGAAAGTGCCTACACTCTATTCAGACTACTCTCCCTTTAGGAAGGTAAGGTTTTCAATTTTTGTTTCTCTGTATTTGTTGCTTTAAAAATTAATATAATACTTCTCAGAATATGGTCAGATGGGAAAAAGAATGTTAACTGGGTGCTAATGGATATAAAGCCTAAAAGCAAAATCAAACAGGTTCTAAACTGAGCTCCATTTATAACMGTTCACTGGCTCTAGCTCTGTTTACTATCTTCTCCTTACCTTGTTTGCCTTCTTTCATACCTAGCAGTAATCCAAAGGCTCTCTTCATGTTTAAGAGCCACCTCCTACTTGACTAGGTATAGTTCATATCATCTTGTTCTCTGAATTCTTCAACTGTTCTGAACTGTACTACAGTACCTAGCCTTTAAAGAGCTTTAAGTTGTTCATTTCATGATTTCAGAATACATACCAGTTCTAGTTCTAGGGACTAGAATTATCTTAAAATAGCAATATATCTCCTGCTTCTTCTCTCCTCTCTGTAAAATCTAAACCCAGTTCTCAGTACAATATAAATCCTTTAGACCTAGTGACTGAACTGCATTTTTTTTCTGTCACTCTTCCATTATTATCAATTTTATTTTCAAAATGCTAACTGAATAATGTACACTAACCTAATGAAAGAAAAAGTAATATAATACTTATAAAGCACTTTCCCTACCAAAACCAAATTACTGGTTAAATGAAGATACAAAATGTTGTGGCACACTATAATCRGTATTGATATCCATTTAAATTTGAGGAAGTGTTTATCTAAACAAAAGCAATTAAGCAATGTGAGATCAATTTTTTCTTGCTTAAAGATGCTTCATTTCAGACACAAAAGCAATGAGTGAAAGTAATGACTTCTACATTAGATAACCAAGTGATTTATAGGTAGTTTATATTATAACATGGTCAGCTGTCTTGGGCATTTTTGTCTTTAGTTCCTAAGTAAAACACCCAAAAAAGGTATGATTTAATTAGCACAAATCTAATACCACTTGTGGAAGTGACTCAAATCTTGTCAACACCACTTTTATTTACAACACTATTACATGTGTTTTGAATGCATACAAATCACGGTACAAGTACAAACATAGCAGTTCTCAAAGTTTTCAAAATCTCCCTTCAAGTCTGAATCCTAGAAACCTTTGCTAAAAACCCAGTTTAATCTAAYTGAGCTCTAAATTATCATTTTCTATCCCCCCAAACTTTCCTTTATTCATCTTAATTACAACTTTGCAGGTTAGCTATAAATCCTACTAAAAGTCATTTTCTTCCTCATTTAAAAAATAAACCTTTCTCTTCCTGTACTTTTAGCATTTCTGAAGACAAACTCAGTCTTTTGATCTTGAATACTAAATGAAGACATCCAGAAAGGTTAGATCCAAAAATGTTAAAATCCGAAATATTAAATACATTTTTTTTGGTGGTGGGGGGGCCCAGGGATTGAATTCAGGGGCATTCAACCACTGAGTCACATCCTCAGCCCTATTTTGTATTTTATTTAAAGACAGGGTTTCACTGAGTTGCTCAGCACCTAGCATCTGCTGAAGCTGGCTTTTGAACTCATGATCCTCCTGTCTCAGCCTCCTGAGCTGCTGAGATTATAGGTATGCACCACCATGCAGGCTTAAGTACATTCTTAAATTTCAATTGTCCCAAAAAAGGAAAAAAGCAGCAATGATTTCATACAATCTGACACTTCTCTGTTTCATCCAAGTTAAATGCACAGCACCAAAAAAGAGTGGACAACTTTGAAGTAATGTCTCACAAGTCTAACAAAACAAATCATTATCTTAATTAAGGTAAAAGATTTTAAGACTAGCCACTATACTCCACAATTTTAATGGAAAACAAAAACTATCCACAATACAACAAAAAATTATGCTTTTCTTCTCTATGGTGATATTTCAGTAAAGAAGACAGGAACCACAGCTWTGTATTTTCTCCAGTAAGAAAACTAATACAATATAAGCATTTGTAATGACTTTTCCCACTTGAGCCTTCCTATTGTACTTATAAAAACACCTTTACATATCAGAGTTTGAGAACAGCCATAAAAGATAAACATCACAACCCTGGAATTTATTATCTCTTCATTCCAACTTTTACTAAGCCCGGGAAGGTATATCCAATCATCATGATTTCAAACACCAAAAAGTACAAATAAAATAATTCTTCTAAAATATTAAAAGTAGACTGGAAAAATAAAATGTTTTACCTACACTGTAACTCAAGTTATTCAGGCTTCTTAATTTTACATTTATTTATTTGGGGGGATATACCCGAGATTGARCCCAGGGGCATTTAATCACTGAGCCATATCCCCAGCCCATTTTTAAAATATTTTATTTAGAAATAGGGTCTCATTGATTTCTAAGTGCCTCGCTAAATTGCTGAGGTTGGCTTTGAACTCACCATCTCCTGAGTCAGCTATCCAAATTTCTGGGATTACAGATGTGCACCACCACAACCAGAAGGCTTCTTAACTTTAAACTGAGCCCTGATGTTGACAAGAACCAGTCCTTTCACTCTCTTATATATCTAGATAGTTAGTACTTAATATCTTAGTAGAAATTAAAATATTTMCTGGGTTTTCTCTCAAATGATTAGAGAAAACTATAGAGAACACTTATAGGATATATCTTACTAACATTAAGTGTCTCGCAGTACTAATGGTAAGGTTTTAGTAAAACTACTTAAGCAACAAATCTATATAATGATTTGTAAGTATTAACTATTATCATTAACTACTATTCAAAAAAAACCTGAACATGTGGGTATCCAGGAGACGAGCATAATGAATATAGAGACAATGTCATAAAAACATGGAATTACTTAGTTTGTGGACAATAAGAGCTAAAAGAATTTAGAATAGCAGGATACACTTGGCTGGACATAATTATCTGGAAAATTTTACAGAATAATAACCTTACCTGTATCCTTAATACATGCACATCATTTACATAGGAGAATGAGAATGATAGTAATGAAGCTGCTCTAATTAAGGGAGGGTGGTTAAAAAAAAATGGCCTTCAAAAAATGCCACTGTCTTTCAGATACAATAGCAGAGCAGTGAGTTGGCTCCAGGCCCTCTGGTCAGAGGACTCCTGGGATACTCAATTACAATTAGAATCCCTGCTTCTGATATAAATTTCCTGTTTGAATTCTAACACAGAATTATAGCCTCTGCTTCTCATCAAAATAGAGAATCTTAAAGATATAAACCACAATGGAACTCCTCAGGAACAATGGAAAGATGGTGTGCAATAAAACAAGCTTTTAAAGGACAGAATATCTGGAATACAAGTTTTACAAAAGCCTTAGCAAGTTTAGGCTTATTCCAAAATGATCTGTGCAGCCTAGTTACCAATCTCTCAAACATAGGATTGTACCTGTGAAATATCTCCTGGTTGTTTTTTTTTTTTTTAAGTCTTTTGAAGTCACTCTTCAGATCAATCCACCTTGTAATAAACAAATGTAAACATTGTGACATGGATCACAAACATGTGGAGTGAACATCCAAAAATCAAAAGGCCATTTCAAGGATATGTGAGTATTTAGAATGGGGTCTAGCACYGACATTCTAAGTTTTATATAAATGATAAATCTCAAAGTTGAATGTAACCTTGCTCTTTTAACAAACTCTTAATCTGGTGTTTCTTTTCTTACAGAGGCTACCTCTCAAGATTCAGAGCTGAGAAAAAGCAACTGCAGCGCGCTAACCAAAAGACATTCAGGGAATATTAATAAGCCATACTACTGAAACAAATTGAGCAAAGTCATGATGTGGCCCAAGATCTACTCCAGTGACTATGTTATAGGGATCTGAGTCTGCAATGACAACCTCTATAAAATCTTCCTTTACCTCAAAAATCTCTTGTTCGCAAAACACAGAGTTAAAAGTGTGTGTGTGTGTGTGTATATATATGTATGTATGTATGTGTATGTGTATGTATATGTATGTGTGTGTATGTATGTATATATATATATATATATATATATATATATGTGGAAAAACTTAACCAAGAAGGTGAAAGGCCTACAGTGAAAACTGTAGAACACTGAAGAAAGAAATTGAAGAAGACCTCCCATGCTGTTGGGCATGCAGAATTAGTATTATCAAACACAATTTATAAGTTCAATGCAATCCCCATCAAAATACTAATGATATTTCTTATATAACTAGAAAAACCAGTCCTAAAATTCACATGGAAAAATAAAAGACCCCAAAGAGCCAAAACAATACTGAGCAATAAGAGTGCTGATGGCAACACAATACYTGATCTCAAATTATGCTACAGAGCTAGAGTAACAAATAGCATAAAAACAGATATTAAGATCAAAAGAAAAGAGTAAGTTACAGAGACAAAATCCATATAGATATAGTCACCTGATTTGACAAAGGTACCAAAAATTAATATTGGAGAACAGATTGCCTCTTTAACAAATGGTACAGGAAAAACTGGATATCCATATGTAGAAGAATGAAATTAGATTCCTATCTTTCACCTTGCACAAAATCAACTCAAAAGTGGATAAAAGACTTAGGAATTAGGGTAGAAACACTGCCACTGCTAGAAGAAAACACAGGGCCAACACTATATCATATAAGTGCAGGCACTGA